TGTTTGAGATGTCGGACTTCAGGTCTATGAGAGTAGGAATTGTTTTCGAGCAGAGCAGCATAGCTCTTACTAGATTAATAGTAAGGCGCCATTGCCTATCGGATTGAAAAGAATGTGTCAAACGGTCTCCTAAACGCTAGTATTGCCCTGTGGTGTTTCGATTCTCTCCGTACTTATTTTCGAGGGTTTCCCTTCAGTGTTTACTTAGCCGAGTCACCTTAGTGACAACAAGACTATCTCCACCCATTCTTTGATTATACTTCTTTTCGCTCCATCAAGTACACAGTAAGGCGAACGAATTTTAAGACTGTACTCCCGATTATTCGCTAGTTTAGTTTCGAGAAGTATGACAGCAGGGTTCCATTAATTACAAGAGATTTTAAAATCGGTAAGGGATAAGTAACTCTTTATGACTGTACCCTGACCTACAAGTAAATTACTGCTGTCTTATCACCCACTGCAGAAGATCGTTTAAAAGTGTTCCACTCAGGTTAATAACTTACCACCGGTGAGTCACAGGAGTAATTAGTTGTATTTCGGTAGTGTGTTATTGAACAATGTCCTTATGTCTGCCCAAATTAGACGAACAATGAAACAGTTAGGCTATAGCCACCACAAGAATCTGTTATAATGACGTTAATTTACAGTTAGTATTTACAGTGGAACGGGTACCAAGACCTGTTACTTTTGACACAGGGAAGGTCGCCAGGTAGTAAGGAAGAAGGGGGAATTCAAACGTTTAAAAGAAGGCTAGAACGAATCACCAGTGCCAAATTAGAAATCGGAACCTCAAGGACAAATCGTTGTTCCCTTGTTCAAGCGCGGTGTTAGCTGAGAGATTTTAATTAATTGTTTAAAAAAATGAAGAACACACTATGGGCCTCCTGTTATTTGAAGTCAAATCAGTCTGTTTACACTAAGATTTTACATGATGATTTATCACAAACCGATAATAGGTAGATGCTGCTTCATTGCACCACCTACCACAGATACGAAAATCAGTGTGCTGTGCACCTTCAACGCTAATAGCAAACGGGTTAAGCAAGTGTAAAAAAATCCACTTAGAAAGCCAAGTCGCATTCGAACGCTGGGAGATGGAACGCCCAATCAGAATCCAGTGACACCCAAATGGCCGCCAGTACTTTCAACCATTTGACCAAGCTAACGTCGCATACATGGCAAATCAACTGCCTCCTTGAGCATTGCACAACTGCCAACATTTTATTCGAACACACGGGAAATTACAACCGCTGAACATTCACGACACAGGATTGACCATCTGCACAATAGAGAATTTGCAAAATTATTCTGCAAAAGGAAGCTCTACTTATAACTTGACTACAGACGACCCTGTTGCGCACGCTCCTGAGTGGACGACTGACGCCTGTCAAGCATACCAGTGCTAACGGAAGGGGTTAAGTGGAAAGCAAGTGGAGAATGGGTGCAAAATTATTTTCCTTCCAGCCGATAGGATCGGTTGTGCGGGGTTACCACTGATGGCAAATGCTTTGTAATGGTAACAATACGGAGCGTTGATTGTGAGTGATTTATTCGAAGACTTCGGTACTTAGTAGCATCTGCATGATTGATAGACTAATCATGAGATAGAGATCATTTGATCCAAAAATGATGTCCAACATCATTGCCATTGGTCTGTGCTAATTGTAATAAAAGGGTCCGTAAAACCTCTTGAAGAAATATGCAAGTAGGGCCACAAAGAACGTACATTTTTGCCTTCAAGGTCGAAGTGGGTGAAATTGAGAAAGATAGTTGATTTAGGCGCTGCAACAATCTTCCAGATGCAGTTCTTGTTGGGAGGATACTCGGCTGGAAATCCTGGTGTTTGAATGGTCCCGTTGGCTGCATTAATCACTCCTCCACAGGCATCTTAAGGGCATTTTGAGGTTTGATGAAGTATAGTTTGTGGACTGGACCTAGTAATTGTTAAATTTTTGCGTCTTTCGGCGAATCTGTTTATAACATGTGACTTTTTGAAGTAATCAGTTGAACTATTCCACTAAAGGGAGGTTCGCAGATTAAAGCCCTTCTATAATCCTTAATTACTTGCAATTCTGAAACTTACTTTGTACGAAGACCTATTCCTAATGGAATGAAACATTAAGTGTTTAAGAATGAATGAGTAGTTTTGTCGGTTTTCAATGTAGGAGCTTTAAAATGAGCCCAAATGATGAAGGCGCATGTCACTGTATCAGGCACAGAAATCATGAATGCTCACTTCCCATAATTTAGTTACGTTTGGCAGTCTCGAAATCTGCAAAACGACTTTAAGCACCTATGCAATATAAGATTAAAAAGTCATTCCAGTACTTTGCTGTCGTCTAGAGACATTGAAGTCTCGTTTCATGGCAGCATTTTACTTGCCCGTACCCGAAGTTTGGGGACGGCTACGAAGCTCATTCAACGGACGAAGCTACTTGACCTTTAATGCCTAGCTTCCGGCTCTCCTAGTGTGAACCCAGTAGGTCGGGGTGTCCCGGCGCCGTTGAGGCGATTTGTATAAATATGTATTCGCAACCTTAACTACACCTCATTTTCTGCAAATACAAAATGGTGTGGTCCACATAAGGTAAGATCCACTTGAAACACCTTTGGCACTCCCAGCAGGCTTTCAATGCTCTCTTCAAAATACATGACAATTAATCGTTCAGAAGTCAAAGTAAAAACATTGCATTTACGAAGAACGCCGGAAATGTTGGTGGAAATGTTTGTGCATACCTTCACATCTCTTGCCATCGGGATGTAGCTCGTAGCCAATTTCACATTGACACCGGTAACTGCCAAGGGTGTTAACACAAATATGTGAACAGCCATGCTTATTCGTCTTACACTCGTCAAATTCTACAGGGAAGAATGGAAGAAAAAGTCACATTTTCTCACCCATTCTCAAGTGTTACGATAGGGATGTAATACTACTGTCGTTGTCGCATAGCTCTTTGAATTATTACGAAATCATGTGATGTAAAATGTCTAAGTTGCAATAAATGAATGCTGTAGTCAAGACGCCATTAATATCAGTGACTCACATCAACTTTTTAAAACTTAAAAATCCTACTATGTGCCTTATTTTAAAAGTATTAAGTAAGTTTTGAACTTTATATTCTTTGAAACTGGATCATTTATTGAGCAAGAGGAAGGCTTGTCTCTGAAGTACCTTTGTTACATACCTTTCTGGAATTCGGCAGTGAATCCCTGTTTTTCAACAGAACTGTCGGAAACAAATTTTATGTACATCATGTTATTTGTTGATTTGATTGGAGTCGGCAAATTGGAACCGCAAAGCTTCTTCAAGACTGGTGAACTCTCGGACAGACCATCTCGAATTTCGAGGTAATCGTAGACACAGTTATCGTGTTTTTCTATCTAAAATTTGAAAATTATACACAAAAAATTGTTGACAAGCACCTGCGTTGTGAAAAACAGAGAGTTTCGGTCCTGATAGTTTACA